TGTGCCGCAGATCACGGTGCTGGGGACGCCGGCGGAAGAGCAAGGAGGAGGCAAAATAGACCTGATAAACGCTGGGGCGTTTGACGGCCTGGATGTGGTTTTCATGGCACACCCCTCGCAGGAAAACGCGCCTTACCTGCCCGATGTGGCCGAGCACGAGTGAGTGAGCGGGGTCGGGTGGAAGGGGGTGGCTCGTCGCTCGCCTTTTCGCCCTCCCCGAGGAGGGGAGCTAATTCGGAAGGGGCTGAGCTTAGAGCCGGGACCTAGCAGGTGCCCTTCAGACAGAGTATTTGCAGGCAGCTAAGGACTCAGGTCACTGTTGTGGGCACTCCGGGACATTTTTCCAAAGTGCAGTGTTTGGTCTGCTCTTAAAAGATCTGTGACTGTTCTGAGAGAATCTTGCATATGTCCCAAACATCCATTCTTTCTTCTGATGTTTCTAGGCGTTTCTTTTTAAACATGATTAACCTATCTGTTAAAAAAAAAAAAAAAAGGCAAAGGCACTGGAGGAGGTCCCGTGCATCACAGTTCCTTGCCTTCCTGGGCACCAGATCATGTAATCATCTGTGGGCATTTTATTTTAATCAGTTCTGAAAGTGTTTCAGGTTTTCCCTTCTACTTTTGAAAGAACCAGCCAGCTGTACCTGACTGCAGTTTGGGTCCTTATTAACTTCCAGCCTAAATTTCATAATGGCCATTTTATATCTATTAACTTACACATCAACTTCTTTTTGATTCATAGTACTTCTTGGCTTTCCTTCATGTTTACCCCCAGTAGAAGTATAGACAGCAGTCATACCCTTAGTCAGCAGCTTCTTGCCAGTTAGCCCTGTAACTATTTGGAAATGATGCCTCATCTTTTAAGTACCCCTGCTGTTCAGTGACATTACATGTTTGTTTATACTTGGGACTTGACTTGTCTTGGAGAACTCCTTGCTGGATGTGCATAACCAGAATTGTACACAGTCCATGAGGTAGAATTTCCTTAGACCTCACTCGACTGAGGCTTCAAGTGCAATGTCTCTTTATCATTTTGGAGGGAGCTGTCACATTTGGGGCTTCCTCTTCAGTCATTTTCAAGCAACTAACTCTTAGACGAATGCTTAGTCTGTAAGTACATGATCTTTTCAGATATTTTTGAACTTCATTGTATTCTTTCTCTGCCAGTCTGCAAGTTGCCTTACCTTGATTTCATAATGATAATAAAAAACTCATACACTACGGAATGGGATGTACAGCTGTCTTGGAGGATGAGGGGGGGTGGAAAAGGACATTCTTAATTTGGAGTGCAGGGAGTAGCAGGTGATGTTTTCTGCTGCAACAGTACACTCCATTGTGTCCCTTTTTGCAATCCAGTATTTCAGCTCTGGTATTAACTTACACCTGCGGCATGGTTCAGAGCATGAGGGGTCAGCTCAGGATAGTGGTTAAGTTGGCATTTGTGCAAGACAGAGGTACAAACAGTTTAGGCTGCTTCTAGCTGGGTAAGAGGTTGTGCATCTTGGGGCAGGGGGAACTCTGAGCTGGAAGACTGAGCTTTTGGGTAAAATGTTGAGTGAAAACAGATTTAGTTAAAATCTTTACTGTAGATAAAACCCAAATATTTGTGTGTTTGATAAGTAGTAATACCTTATGTATTTCTTAGTATTTAGTACCTGCCTTTCGTGTAAAGAGTTTTCATATAATTTGAAATACATTATTTTGTGAGGCGAATATATATGGTACCCAAATGAAGCTAAGCATGAGCTCTTATTGGTTGTGTTCAGGTGCAGTAACCTCTTCTGGGAAGCTGGGGAATAAGCTTTGCACTAGATTTCTTCTTTGTCACAAGCCTGTCTAACAGCATTTTTCAGACATGCAGGGAAAACATCCTTGCTGTAGCACAGAAATGTGTATTTTATACTAGGCTATGCTTCTGCTACACTTCTAAAAATTTTACTCTTGTTATTTAAACATGGGTTGTATGCAATCTTAGTGATGTGCTTTTGCTGTCTTACACAATATACACATTTCATTTCAGTTTGACAAGATCTAGGACAATTGACATCTAACTTTGAATTGGAGAAAAGGGTTTGTTACCCTCTGAGAAGAATGGTAGTAACTTTAAGTGTCAGATCAGTCATGCAGTGTTAAAAAAAAAAAAAGTGTTTTATAGATTTCATACTTCAAAGCTTGTGCTTCTCAGGAAAAGGCCAGATAGTGGTATGTTACAGGCAACTCTCTTGCCTTACTGGCTCTTAGTATCATTCTGTGTGATTATTTTCACACTAATCTTAGATCATCTTCCTACAACTGCAGACAATTCAACTTTGCAACAGTGTGATGTGGAGTGTTCTGCTGCACAAAACTTAAATAACTGTGTGAACAAGAGGAACTTTTTGTTTTAGATTTTTTTTCAGTGAATGAGAAACAAATAAGCAATGCCTTTTATTTCCTAGTGTGACTGTGAAATACTATGGAAAAGCGTCTCATGCTGCTGCTTATCCTTGGGAAGGAGTTAATGCATTAGATGCTGCTGTTCTTGCATACAACAATCTGTCTGTTTTAAGACAGCAAATGAAACCGACCTGGAGAGTTCATGGTGAGACCTTCATTAAATCTAATGTCTAGCAAGTAAGAGTCTAAGCTGTTGAAATACTAACTTACAACATCCCACAAATTAAAATTTTGTATTATTGCACCAAATTAAGTGTAGTCACTTCAAATATTATGAAATAACACCATTTAATTTAAATAGCTTGTCTCTAATCTTAAAAATCATGTCGGTATCCAGAACTAACTGCTGAAGATAGGCTTACAGGTCAGATTCAAAAGAGGACACTGGTTACCTAGGTACATTTTAAGTCTTTGTGCTTGAAGTTACAGTTCAGAAAGGAAAAAAAAAAAAAGTTGTTTCTTGATACATGACCTTGAATTCCTTAAAGTTAATGAACATGTTGTTGCAAAGGTGTAAGATTAAATGATTCTGAAAACCAAAGTATTACTTATTGGATAATTTCTGTACTAGACATTCCATTAGATGGCATTTATTGGAAGGGTGTAGTGGTCTAGAGTGACTGAAGTTTGTTTGCTGAAGTACAAAAAATAAGTAATGGTAAAGTCTGTAGTACTGGCTAGTAGCCCAATCAATTAGATGTTCATTGTATTCTAATAATTAATATCTAGTAGACCTTGGAGTAGGAAGGTCATTTTGCAGTAAGACATGTTAACCACTGAGCCTGGCTTGCACTCCTTCAACATTGTGCATTTCTTTTTGTAGAGTGGGAAAGCTTCAGAAGTTGAAGGGGAAGCTGCCCTTTAGCTATAAACCCAGGTTTCCCTTATTACACCAAACACAACTTTTACCAAGATGAAATTCAGAAGTCCTCTAGAAATGGCAAAGTTTCCTAATGTAGAACTGTTCATTTGGGATAATTGTTATGAGCCAAAACACTTGCAGAAGTTATGAACTAATTGTTCTACATCTTGGCTGCTTGTGCTGCATAACACATTTGTGTGTTTCTCTCTGGGATTTCTGGATGGAGTCTGTAAGCCCCAACCCTCTTGACTGCAGATGAAGATGTTTGCAGTCCTGCTGTGCAGCATACCCAGATGAATTTCAGACAGCAGGCACAGCCTCTCTATCCTATGGCTCTTGAGGAAACAGGGCACTTAATGAGTTTTGGTGTCTGAAACTTGTGTTGCAAGTTTAAAGTTGGAGGTGCCTCAGTCTTCTATTGAGTCTAAGCCTAAAACCCTAAATACTGCATTTTTCATAGTTTCTAAAGGCTAAATGGATAATGTAGGCTTAGAGGTAACACTGCCTGAACCTCAATCAAACTTAAATAATGCTATAGCTGCTGTCAGAAACCTGGTTTTCAAACTGGAAATACTTAATACTTTTGGGAAAGTATAAGCAGCCAGAATGAGATTTACTTTTTAGGAATGCTTTACTTACAACATTGTCTTGGAGATCTTGTGTTACTGACTTGCAGTGACAGCAGAGGCTGACATAAGTGATCCTACAAATCTCAGTGTTAACCCACAAACATAGCCTGAAATAATTTCCGTTACTTGAAGTCTGGAGTTTCTAGGCAAAGTTTTATGTTTTATGTACTTGAACATTATTGGTCTAAGTTTGTCTGATATTTGATGTTATGTTTCTTCCCTGCTTATAAGTGGAGTAAATGACCCCTTGAAAAACAGGGATATGTGTAGATTTCTTTTACATACTCAGAAAGTTATATTAAACAGGTTGTAAAAAAAAAAAAAAAAGTTCCATCTAGAAGGACAAACTGGGTGGCACCAGTAGCGTATGGGCGACCTACTTTAAAGCTATATCTGCTGTCCAGTCTGTGTTGCAGTTGCTTGGAAACTTATATGTAAATATAGTCTTAGTCTCCAATTCCATTTACAAATGTGCTGGAAAACTGAAAGTTGTTTACTCATTAAGAGACTTGTTTTGAGCAGATGTGTAATGGGTATGTCATGCAAATTTGTATGTTGAGTTGCCGGTTCCTTTCCTGTGATGTCTGTCCTTCTCATCTGAGCTGTTCCCTTTGTTACGGAGTAGTACTGATGGTAGTTTAATTCAGCACTTATTTACTTTGTACTGGAGACTGGAAAGGTTTTACTTGAAGGGGAGTTTGTAGTCTTAATAGGTGTTCTGCACCAAAAGGAAAAATTAGTTGTCCATCTGCATGCTGATAGTGCTGCCTTTTCAGGCTTCAGTGACATACATCAGTGACTTTGTGCAGTATTTCCATTTAAGGTGGATAGTTTCTCAGGTTCTACAGAAAACAAATCTTATTCCACATATATAAATTGAGGGTAGGAAGCCAGGGAAACAACAGCCCATTGAAAGCTACTAGCTGTTAAAACACTGAAATTTGATGTAGAATTGAGGTCTACAGTGTTTTGTTGTTGAAATATAGGCTGAGGGCACTGGGATTGTTCAGCATGGAGAAGAGAAGATTCTGGGTGGATCTTGTAACTGCCTTCCAGTACATGAAGGGAACCTACAGGAAGGCTGGAGAGGGACTTTTCATAAAAGTGTCCAGCAACAGGCCAAGGGGAACTGGTTTTAAACTGAAGGAGAGTAGGTTTAGACTAGATCTTGGGAAGAAGTTGTTCAGTGTGAGGGTAGTGAGACTCTGGAACAGATTGCCCAGCGAGGTTGTGGATGCCCCTCCCTGGGGGTGATCCAGGCCAGGTTGAATGAGGCCTTGAGCAACCTAGTCTAGTTGAGAGGCATCCCTGCCCATGGCAGGGAGTTTGGATTAGATGATCTCTAGGGTATCTTCCAACCTAAGCCATTCTATGATTCTTTGAAATATCTCATTACTACAGGTTTTATGGTAATGCCTCTGTTGCCATAATTGAAAACTATGTAGTTGTCACACATCTCCTTGAGGGGGACACGTTCAACTCAAACTTCACTCCTGAATGAAACTACATATGTTATACGTTCCAATATTCCTAGAGAATTAGTTTGAGGAATCTAAAGAACTTTCTGTGCACTGGAACATGCACTTTACTCTAGCATTCCTGAGAAATGCAACTTACTTGGTTTTTCTCCAAGCTAGCAGTTGAGGAAACCTTTACAAGTTGGAATCCAAGGTAGCCTTTGTGACTATTTTTTTGCTTTCAGTGAGAGACAGATTGCTTTATGACTGTGAACTGAATTTCAGGGGATTAATTACAAAAGTTTTTTGGCTTGTCCTTTGTTTAGACATCTGTTATGACCCGAAGAACGCAATGCAACTGTTGAAAAACTACGGGCCACTTAATCTGATGTGATGAAGAATCTTTGTCTACATACTGTGTTGTTGACCTTCTTTGTAAATCATGCTCAGCTGATGTATTCTTGTTTTGTTTATATAGTTAGTTTTTGAGCAAGGAGTTTCATGATGGGGATGAAGATCAAGCAGTTGTCTTTAATACTGATAAGATGACTTCCCTTTCTGCAGGTGTAATAAAAAATGGTGGTGTGAAACCTAACATCATTCCTTCTTACACTGAACTAGAGTTTTACTTGCGTGCTCCTTCAATGAAAGATCTCTCTCTTCTGACAGAGAAGGTTGAGAACTGCTTCAAGTCTGCAGCACTGGCCACAGGATGCAAAGTAAGAATGTATTCACACTGATGTTTCTGTGATGCTGGAGTTGAGGTAGACCAGAATAGGAAACAGAGGTTACAGCATTTGTCTGCTTGGTGTTCAGCTGAAATAAACCTAAATTTCTATTATACTGTTTGCTATTCTGTTGCTTTGTCCTGAAAGAAAGCTTTGGTTTGCAAGTAGAATGCCACAAAACCATAGAAGAATATAGATCAGGAGACACCTCCAGATGTCATCTAGTTTAATCCTCTGTCCGGAGCATAATGTTCAGTGCTGTTTAGATTTCTGAATATTTTTGGGGATGAAATTCTACAACCTCTGTCACAAATGAGTGCTCTACCCACCTCGTGGAGAACAGTAAGCACTGGAGACTGACTTTCAGTGTTGTCTGTGGAGATTGTGGTGTTTCTGTCCTTGGAGATAGTCCTGATATGGTCCTGTGCAACCAGCTCTAGGTGACCCTGCTTGAGCAGCGGAATTGAACAAGATGACCTCCAGAGGTTCTTTCCAACTTCAGCCATTCTGTGATTCTGTTGTATCTACCAGGAATTTCATTTGTTGCCTCTCATCATATTACTGGGCATCTCTGAGAAGTATTGTTTTGTCTTCCATGTTCCCTCCCCATCTGATAACTGTAGACAGCAATAAAATCTCCCCTTAACCTCTTCTGAAGGCTCAAGAAATTAAGTTCTTTCACCCTTAATTGTATGTCAAGTTCTCCACCACCCTAATGATCTTGGTGACCTTCCCCTGGACTAGGTCCAGTCTCGATTTGAGAAGCACAAAACTTAACACAGAACATCAGATGTGGTGTCAGGAGTTGTCTGCATCCATTATAATGATACTAAAACATTAATGGCACCGGTATTGATGGCAGATGAATGCTACAAGTAACAGGCAGCAATTTGGATTTTTGTACCACTGATCATAGCATTTCGACCTTGGATGTCTTCTGTGTCTCTGAGCCAGATATGTCATCACAAAAAGCTGATCTTGGTCATGCCCTATCTGCTTTTCTGTGAATATGTGCTGGATATTCATAATGCCCTTGTGATTCTTCTGCCTGGACATGGGATTAAGGAGGATTTATTTGCTCTATAATCCTTGCAGGAGCTTGAGGATAGGACAGTCTGGTCAGTTTGTAATTTACAAGTTCCTCCTCTTGGCCCTTCACAATGGATGTGACCTTTAGCTCTTCTTCAGTGAGCTGGAACATCCCTCTATTTCATTGACATTTAGAAAATGATAGCTCCCTGATTGCGTTGCTGCTCCTCTCTTACTCAGCACCCTTGGATGCATCCTGCTTGGTCCTGTGTATGTACAGTTTCTTTGTGTCCCATAATCTTTTTTTTTTTTTTCCTGTGGGTGATGCTCCTCTCCTAGAGACAGTGCTGCTAGGCTCTAGAGACCTGGAGGCTTGATGCAAACCTTACCAGTAGGAGCAGACAAAACTGGTATTGAATGTTTGCCCTCCCCTCCCCCACCCCTCCATGTTCTTTGTCACTAGGTCCTTTGCCCCACTAAAGAGCAGGCTCACATAGCAACAAAATATGAAAAATCAGGTGATTTTTCAGTTAGCATTCCTTTTTGTTTTGGTTTTACTTTTAGTAATTGGAAGGGTCTCCTGTAGCTGGTTCAAGCAATGCAGTTACCTTCCAGTGTATTGCTAAGGTAGATGGTTCTGCCTGCTCTGTAGCTACAGGTTTGTGGCTAATAGCTGTGAAAAGAATGTCTGTGCTCATCAGAGCAAACAGGTACAGTGTGTATGAAAGTGAGCTACTAAATTAAGGTCTGCTCGAGGCATTAGGTGATGTTCTCCTAGTATGGAAAACTCCATAGAGTGGGGTATTCCTCCACTCTAGCTGGAAAAGGATTTCAGAAAGTGCACCTTAAGCAGAATGAAAGTGAAGATGTCTTGAAATTTGACATTGGTATGTTTTTAAAATTTGTTTTCAAACAACTTTTACCCTTGTTTTCAGTCTTCTTGTCTATGTGAATTCATTTCAAGACTGTAGTTCCTGCAAGCGATCTAAACAATAGTAAAATAGAATTTGGTAGGAGCTGAAATTTCTCTGTAGCTTAGAAGTACCTGCAGTAGAAATCATTACACACTGTTACAGGATATGTTTGTCCTATTTTTGGAGATGTTATTCATGAAATCCATGCTTCTGGAATATGTCCAGTGCAAGCTTGACAAAACACCAGCTGTGTTTTGATCAAGGTTAATATTTGGCAGAAGATTGTATTTTTGAAAGAAACTTAACAGTTAGGTCTGTTTTGTCATGGGCTTTGACGTATGGATATGTACTTTTTTTTCTGGTCTTTGACTTGTTTACATTAAACTAGTTTACACTGGAGAAAAATTTCTCATAATTTGGGTTTTTTATCTAGGTGGAAATAAAAGGTGGTGCAAATGATTACTACAATGTGCTTCCGAATAAGAGCCTGCAGAAAGTTTACAAGGAGAATGGAAAGAAGCTTGGAATAGAATTTATATCAGAAGACTCTATCTTGAATGGTTTATCAGGTAACTCCATATGGGTATTTTGTTATGATTTAAGCTTAGACTGATCAACTTTTAAGTGTATAGAATAATTGGATTAGAGCTAGGTTAAACATAGTTTGGTCAGAAGACAAAGCCAATGTAGAAAGCTGAAGCTCTGTAAAAGGACCATACCTCTGGCCTGTGTTTCTGTGTTTGTTGTGGAAACTGAGGAACTTTCCTAACAGGTATGAAAAGCAGTAATCATTTTCTGATAATATTTCTGAAAATATTTCAGGTAAGAAACCGTTTAGTTGGGAAAAGGGATGGAAAGATGGAAAGCTAAGAACAGTCTTGCTGAGAAGATGGGGATGTGTAATGAGTTGCAGCTCATTCTGTTGCTTTGAAATAATCCTGGTTTGCTATGGATGGAGATGAGACTTAGTTTTTAGGAACCTTTGTTTAATAATTTTCAAGCTTACATGAAAACAAATCTACTAGCATCTAACTAATATTTTAAAGGGAGTTTTTGAAGAGTTTCAGTGGAAGCTTAAGCATCTTAGTAACCCTAATTTAAACGTGTTTCCATTAACAGGTAATTCTATGCCTCTGATTTTAGTTTGGGTTCAACAGATGAGTTTTCCAAAGGGTGCTGTTGAAGTAGGTGTTCACTTATGGCTCTTGACTATGTCTCAAACTGTTTCACTTTCTTGGTCTCTCAGAGCTCTAGTAATAGAAATGTGAATCCTTGAATGCTCAGGTAGGTTTAACCCTTAACAGGCTGGGTTTGTTTTTTTTTTTTTTTGGATCTTTCCTACACCTCTGTTCAAGTCTTAACTGCTGCTGATATTTTTTAGCCTTCACTACTGATATAACTGTATATATGAGTGTTTTATTACTCCACTCACATTAAAGGTTTTTCTCTTTGGTTAGAAGAAAAAAATTGTTCTCAGTAGAAAGTTATCCTAATTAGTTTGATTGCACTTCTAGACTTTATCTGAAATGCAGATTATCTTAAACAGTTGAGGTCTTGGTGTTTGCATACAGAGTTCTCCAAACATTTTTTTGGGGCTGGGGGAGACAGCAAATCTGATGGTGTTCTGATTGATGTTCTCCATTTCTTACTTCCCTTCCAGATGAAGGCAACAGTAACATTCTCTCTCCAATTGGTTTATTGTTTTGGGTTTAAAAACAAATTATAATTAAAGGCAGATTTCTTTTTTTCTACAGTGTGGTCCGAGTAAGATTTACTACTTTGCTCATTTAGCCTTAGGGGCTGAGGAACCTTACTTAGAATGTTTACTGTAGTGAAATTTTCTGGAGCTCTGCTAGTTGCTTCCTTCAAACCTTTGTGTTAAGGGTGAAAATCATGAATACTGTTGATCTTGCTGGTTCAGAGGACTTTGAATGAGCTTAGTACAGACAGCTAATTGCAGTAGTGCTTTTATATGTAAGTTATGTGATATGCTAAATGTTAACCATTAACTTGCTTCATCTGAAACTCCCCATATGCCTGTCCTTGTCCTTAAATCGCTTTTCAACTGTCAAAATGTGCTCGAGCAACTGTGTTTCTATCTCACACTGCAGTAGGCCTTACTGAGATTTTCTTTCCACAGCTTCTCTGAAGTTTTGCAGTGGAGATTTGGGAGCGTTAACAAAGCGGTCTGCGGAGACCTAAGGGTGGAATTTTGTACGCTACCCTTTTGCGGGGGGGTTGAGTGTTTTGTCTCATCTTTTTCAAGACCTGTTTCTGTTTAGTTTTCATACGGTTTTCAATGTTTTCTTTTAGGATGTCAGTTTCTTCTGTTGAAAGGGAAGGACGATAGCTCAGTTGCTTCTCCATGTCTGTGCAGCAGAAAAGTCGTTGTCAGATGAGCGTTCTCGCTGCCACCTCCACATGGGTGTTAGTGTCGGTCTGCTCACAGGTATCGCTCCAGGCAGCCAAGTGTTGCAAAGAACTCCTCTAGTCCCTCACCTCACGCTACCTTCTGCGTGCCTCGGGCACGCCCCACTCATTTGGCACGCAGAGGTGACGCAATGTGAATCTGAGTTAGCTTTGATCAGGTGCCATCAGCTGTTTCTCCTCCTGCTGGTAGGGCAGCTCTGCTGCAGGATATCCATAACCTCCCAGAGCAGATGGCTTAGTTTAGCGTGCCTAAGTTGAGGTGCCTGGTTTTACCATTACTGGGGTTCACTGACTTGCTGTATGCCAGACTGATACAGGCAACCTTAAGAAGGAGCCATTGTGTTCTGAAAACAGCACTTTTAAAGGTTGGGAGTGTATATAAATGCTTCCTGGAATCTTTGGCATTTTCCCATCTACTCGTGTTTATGGCAATACTGTCTTCCTCTCTGTGTTTGGTGACTTGAAGAGGCTTCAGTATCAGCTTCAGGATATCTTTTGAGAGGCTGGAGTACCTTTCCATTGATAATAGTGCACAGGTCTCTATATTGCATTGGTAACTGTGCAATTATTTACGCTCCTAGAAGAAATCCTGATCTGAACATCTCTACCAAGCATGAAGTTCCAGATGTTTATATGGAAACCATTGGAACACTTGATGTTTTAAGTGTAACACTAGGTTGTGCCACTAAAGGGTGTAACATTTTTCTGATAGAAGGGAAGATTTGACTGTCATGTTTTTGCCAAAGGCTGCCTGGATATTGGCTTGGTAAACTCTCCATCTTAGCATCAGAATCACTGAGGTTGGAAACAACCTCTGAGAACATCAAGTCCAGCCGTGAACCCAATGCTACCATGACCACTAAACTGTATCCCAAAGTACCATGCCCACATGTGTTTTGAACACCTCCAGGGAAGGCGACTCCACTACCTCCCTGGGCAGCCTGTTCCAATGCCTCACCACTCTTTTGGTAAAGAAATTCTTACTAATATGTAATCTAAACCTTCCCTGGTGCAACTTAAGCCCATGTTGTCTTGTCCTATTGCTTGTTACTGGGGAGAAGAGACCAGCCCCACGTCACTACAACCTCCTTTCACATAGTTGTAGAGAGACCTTACTAGGGAATAGCAAGTTTAAATTTCTCACAGTCAGCAAAAGTAACTTGTAAACTAGCAGTAGATTTGCTATCGCTATAAATTTAGGCGGAATTAGACGATGGAGAGTCAGCGTGCACTGAAATACCTAATGCTTGATTTGCTGAGTGAGGGCAGGGGAAAACGCCAACACAGTTCTTCCCACAGTTTGTATATTAGGACTCAGGCAGGTCTAGAGCTCTTGGTTTAGTCTGAAATAGGTAGAACTTCTAGACTTCTGGTTTGTCCTTCCAGACTGCACAAAGAATAGATCAATAGTAGAGGCTACTGAAAATTAAAATCATTTTGTTACTGCACCAAGAGTTGGATTTTTTCAAACGTGTACTGAATTTACAGGAAGAGATCATGGGTTTGGGACAAGCTTTGCTGCTTCCATTCATAGGCAGAGTAAGTAGAAAGCTAGTATTGTCCTCTCTGATCACATAGTGTAGGCTCTGTGGACTCACTTTTAATAATGGCATGCTTCCAAGAACAGTCTATATTCCTCAATTGTTTAATTGCCCAATCCTGAGGCATTAGCAATATCTTCTCTCCATAAAGAATCAAGATATGGAGGCTACCTGATGTGTTACAAATTTTAAATCTCTGAACAGCCATGTTAAAAGTTAATGTTCTTTAAACATTTAATGTTAACGTTCTTTAGCCATTGCTAAAGAAAAAAAAATCCTGCTTCTGGTGTCTGGATTTCCCCATAACTGATATGTTGATTTCTTCAGCTTTGAAATTTCATTTTAAGAAATACGGAGTGGATTGCTTGTTTGGGTAAAAACAAACACAACACCAAAACAAACAAAATCACCAAACAAAACAAACAAAAATCCTTCGGGAAGTAGTTGCAGACTCTAAGATTTACTATGAAGGATCTACTACTTCTGGATGGTATCATTAAGTAGATAAGGCAGTACTCTGAGATGGGTATTATCACTGACATCTTGAAAGTGCCAGTCAGGCATGAAAGAATCATTAAAATCTGCAGAATTGCTACCACAAATTCTCTTATGTCTACAAAGCACTGGCATTTTGTCTGGAGTTTAATTCTGATCTTGTTATTTCAGGACTGCTTGTGCTCTTAAGTTTCTGTAACAGAGAAGAATCAAAAAGCACAGGAGGAAGTAGTTGACCTCAGTTTGGTTTTGTTTAAAGGTTGATTGTTCCTACTTCAGAATCCCCTGCCTAATGCTGAATACTTGCATGCTGGAGAAAAGCAGGAATTGTTGGGCCTGGCTTTAAGGGCTGTCGTAGGAAAATAGTTGAATTGCCTGAAACTCCCAAGGTTTGCAGCTTTCATTGTTTCTGAATGGAGAGCTCACTATGAGGAGATGCTTGATAAAAAAATAACAGTAGATGGAATAGGAACATGCTGATACATCTTCCTTGCAGTCCAACTGATTATTGATGAGAGGTGCACTGGAGAGCAGCATCTGAAGTTGGCTAGTTAGGATTGGCTAGTTACATCTCAGTGATGTGAGATTCTTGTATGGATAATGACTCATTAGAAATGCTTTTTATTTTACACTTTGGGGTGGAAGATACTTTGTTTTAGATAAGGGCTGGAGGTAATATCTGTCATACATTTTTCTTACAGCGTTTAAAACTCTTCAACACTTGTTAATTAGAAAGTTTCTGTGTTGGTTCTAGGTTCCACGGACTTTGGAAACGTTACATTTATAGTCCCTGGGCTTCATGCTTATTTTTATATTGGCTCTGATGCATTGAATCATACTGAGCAGTACACAGAAGCTGCAGGTGAGTGGAAGTGAAAAGGGTTAGAGGTTTATATTTGGAGCCCTTATGCTTGTGTATGGAAGTGTAAGTATTAGATCTGAAAGTGGCTGCATGTGAACACCTACAGAGAAATGAACTTGCTTTCTTCAAACGTGATGGGATCTCAGCTGAATGCAGACCCTGAAACAATTATAGAGCAGCAGAAAAAAAATGACAAAGTGTAGAATTTGTTTGTTTGAAACTAAATGTATATAGGAAGGGTGACCACTCCTCATACTAAAAGCCTGATTTAATCTACCATCTAGACAGAGGAAATTACAAGGATTAGCCCTAGCAGCATAGTCAAAGAGTTCCTAAACATGGGTCAAAAGGTGAAAGTCATTTTTACTTCTAAAGCACAATACTCTGGAAGTGTAAAAGAGATAAGAGTATATAACCCTGCGTTATGTGAACATTCATTTTCCTGTTTGCAGTCCTGATTGTTTATATCAGTGGCAGAAAGCTAAGTGCTTGCATATGAAAATTAGTTTTGAGGCATTAGAAGATAGACATATTTAATGTGAGTACATTTTTAAGAATCTGTTCTTGCAATTGAAACTTGAAGATCTTCTTTATAGACTGTACCTTGTGCAGCAAGCTTAGTGGGTTTTGTCTAATATTAGTTACCTAACCAGAAATTCCTCCTGCTTTCTTTCTGCAGGGTCACAGAATGCTCAGTTCTATGCTTTGCGCACAGCAAAAGCTTTGGCAATGACAGCACTGGATGTCATTTTCAAGCCAGATCTGCTAGAAGCAGTCAGAGAAGACTTCAGACAAGTGAAGCTAAAAGAAGAGGGGCAAATAAATCCTGTGGAACCTAACAAAGAATCTGGTGCTGGCATAGGAGCATGTGCATCACATTAAACTTGATTAATCCTCTCTCCATAGGATTGACTTAATGGAGACACTGTATCTAAATCCCAGAAGGGGCTGGATAATCACATAGTTGAAGAAACATTGACCTTTTTAGACTTTAGGTGAAGCAAATAGTATCGTTGCTTTCAAAAATGTGAATTTTTTTTCTAGCTGTAATGTTTGCTGTATTCAGTATGGTGATGAGTTTCAGACAGATCTCAAATACATTGTCTTTTAAAGTTGCAGTGTTGAATAAAAGAGTGCTTAGATCCCTTTTCAGTGATTTTCTGTGTATTGAGAAAGTAATATTCCTTGGGGGGGAAATACAGTATTTACATGGAAATTTTTGTTCTAGAATAAGCTTTAAAATCATCAAAGAATCTTATAATCACTTAGGTTGGAAAAGACCTTTAAGATCATCAGGTCCAACCATTAGTCTAGCACTGCCAAGTCCACTGATGAACCATGTCCTTAAGGACTATATCTATAGAACTTTTAAATATCTCCAGGGATGGTGGTTCAACCATTTCCCTGGGTAGCCTGCTCCAGGGCTTAACAACCCTTTCTCTGAAGCAGTTTTTCATAATATTAATATAAGCATTGTTCACTCAGTGACCATAGGTTGAACCTTTATGAAGTATTTCTTTTGCCAGTCATTTTGTCCTGGGCCAAGACAGAGGCTTAAAAGCTGAGCTGGTTTGACTGGAGAGTAGGGTCTATGTTGGGAAGGATGCTGGGTTTTGGCAGTAGCAGCAGTGGAAGTGAACTGTTTGTGGAAATGTGATCTGTAAAGGGGCATTGTCCTGCAATGCACTGACCTTCCTCCTAATAAATTTTGGAGGTGGTGTGAAGCCATTGATCAAAAAAAAAAAAACCAGGAACTAAATGCTTGTTTAAATGAAAAGATTTAAACTGCTGAAGGAAAACACATGCACCTCTTAAATTCTGCTCTAAGGCAACGCAAGTGTCCACATGAGTTGTTGCGTCATCTTGACTGGTCTGAGGAATATGCATAAATTCAGCTAAAGCAGCAGCAATCTTTTTCACAAAGGTGCAGTGGTGGTACCAGGAAGCAGTAAATGAAGTTAACCTTAAACTGCTTTAACAGGTGTGCAGACCCTGGTAGTAAGCTCTGAGAAGCTTGCACTGAGGATTGCTCGTGCAGTCATGGGCTTCTCAAATTCTATTTTGTTCCCATGTCCTAAGCAGCAGATCTGTTAAGTCTTGCCAGTTGTCCTTTCTGTGCTTGGTCTGTTTAATCCCTGTTGCTTTGCTTCCCAGGCACCTGCATGTTGCAGATCTTATCTAGGTGGTGTTCTCTGTGTCCAAACAAATTGTTAAAGGATCATGTGAATACATAGGGAGGGAGATAATCTTATGTTCAGATAAAAGTTGCTGAGTCAATAGAGTGAAAAAGCAGCTTACTGGTTAATGTTTTCCTAAGCATAGGTGTTGCAGGAAGCTTCTGAGAAGTCAGGCAAACTGTATTCCCCAGGAACTCAGAATACACAAATTAATTCCAGAAACCTTGTGTTTAACAGCACCAGTCTCTAAATGGTGAACTCTAGAATTCTAATCAGGATTTATATTTTATTAATTTCTATATTCAATTCCTAATTTTGGAAAAAAAACATATCTTGGTTTAACTGCACTCCCTCTGCATTTCTGTGCGCTCTAACAGACCTCCAGCTGCTATTGAAGAATTCTACTGAGACTTTTGCTTCTTAGGAGGAAAAAAAGTGGCTAGTTTGACTTCCACTTGCATGCCATGCAGACTGTGTAGACAGCATAACTGTGATGGGTTTTAGACTTCCTGATACTTCAGACTATGTGCTTGTAGTAATAGGACACAATGTCTGTTAATATATTAAAAGCTCAGTATCTTTGGAAAGAAGTGGCAACTGTTTCATCTCTTTCTGTAAGACTGAGAGGCACCATGAAAGGGTTTGTTTTGTATTACCAGCCAGTTATGGTCATGCTCAACTCTTCAAATAAGTATTCCTCCTGTAAGGAGGGTTACATGGGCTTGGTAAGGCTTGTAAGCCTTACATGGGCTGCTCAGCCTCTTGCTTTGCTGTTTTCAAGGTGGAGTGTTGGGATCCCAGTGACAGCAGTCACGCTGCATTGGGTTGTCTCCCACAAGCCGATGGGCATTCCAGCCTTCTCAGTTCTCTTTGTCCAAGCTGGCTGTTGGCTGCATCCTCTCCCAGTTCCTTTAGTTAAACAGTTCTGCACTAAAAGCATGTCTTAATTTTGTTGTAATCATTGCTGGAATTAAAATGAAAGTGAGGGACTGATTAAAGATGAGTTGCTATTGATAAAGCAATTCAATTGTGACTGAATTTTGTCTTTTGATGCATATTGGGATGCTGCATGACTTCATTAGAATAGCGTGTTCGGTTATTTTTTTTCCCATAGTTTTTGGTGTGATTATGTAAGAGTGAGGGTGTTTTGAGGTTTCCATTTCAGTGTGCCATAGTGAGCAGTTTATTTGTGATGGGTGAGTGCTTTTCAAATGCAATATTTTATGATAATCTTTATAACCTTAAGACTGTGTTAACTATTTAAAACATGTTAGAATTCATAGAATAATTGGAAGGCTCTCTGGAGAATCTCTGTTAGGTTAAACCTGGTCTAGCCTCCAGCTTGAAGTGGGATTATCACCAACACTAGATCAGGTGAGCTTGGCTTAAAGACTTTTCAACTTCCCCAGGCAAGTTAGTTCTGATTTGTCTCAGAACGCTTGTTCTTAAGGTCCAGAACTAAAGCAGTTTGCGACTTAATGTTTGTAATTTACTATTGCAATGATACTGTATAGGAAAGAAATTTATTTCCTCTGGGAATAAAACTCACTTTCATTTTCAGTAACTTTTTTTCTCATAAATCACATGTATATGAAAATATCTGGCATGTTTTTTAAGTTACCCTAACTTCAGTCTTCCCCAAGATGTTAGTAACTCAAGAACATTGGAATATTTGTCAGGAATAGTACTTTTAGTAATGAAGCAAAATGTGTAGGTAATCAACTGTAATTGCTGAAATGATTCTAAACTACTGATAGCAAATTACAACTGTTTAAGGATGAGGTGATTATGTCCAGACATGAAGAACTTAAAGCCTCTGCCAGCCTACCCAGCCACAGTGTTTACTTATCTAATGTTTGTCCTGGAACTTGAGGCTTACTATTTCATGGTCCTGAAAGTAGCAGCCCATCCACAGAGCGTTTGTCCCCCAGCCTGTCTAGATGCCTGCTGCTGACACCCATGTTTTGTTGGTTGTGTTAGGGAGCAAAAGTGCATCCCTCTGAAGAGTTGTTACCCAAACTCTCTACGAAGCCGAAGCTGGGTGAGATTGCTGGGGGGAGGGAGGGAGTGTATGGAGTCCTTGAGGCACTAGTTGAAAGGAAATGTATCTGACAAACTCATCAAGGATTTTTCTCAGCCACAACTGCATCTGAATGTCCTTATTAAATAATATAGTGAGAAGCCAAATTTCTCAGTGCTAGGAAAGATTGAGGTCCATGCGGTTGATGGTCCATTTATGCAGTGCTATCATTTATGATTCTTCTAGAGTAACTAAAAATGAGGAGTTGTAATTTTTCTTAGTTGTCCTGTTTATATATACACTTTTGGTTCTTGGAGACTGGAACATGCCTCACATCCTACAATTTGTTGTGCTTTCACAAATTTGTTTCAGCACTGAGCAGCCCTTATGCGTTGTACTGTCACCAAGCCACTTGTGTCCCACGGTAGAACGTGATAGATGCGGCTCCCAGTTGCTTTTCATTTCTTTGCTGCTTCTTCAGTGCCCATCAAATACTATGTTGCCATATAAGCAAGTGAAGGTGAGAAGGGTCCCAGGGGTTTCCACTTGCTCATCAGGGAGTTTGGGTCTGTTTTGTACTGAGACAATCACTTCCTTAGGCATGCAGAGAGACATCTAATGACTGGATTATTGTCAGAAAAAAGACCTTTCTTCATGCCTTCCTGCTGTTCTATCTGTTGCTGGCTGAAGTTTGCTGTCTCGCTGCTTCACCCTGTCAGAAATTACCAGCATCCTTAAAGACTATTAAAGGCTTCAGTCTCCAAGGCTGTTAGTCTAGGCAAACTCACAGGCAGAACTTGTCTATCTGTAATCCACACAGATGTGCCAATACACTTCCAATACTCTTCGGCTTCTACAACCAGCATCATCCCAGGCTGGGCTTCGGGTTCACCTCCAAGAAACTGGCCAGAACTGTGTTGCAAAGTTTCTCCCTAAGCAAGATGGAGGACTGGAATGTACACAGTCTGTGGTGGAAAGCTTAATGTCATCTCCTCAGTTTTGTCTGAGTTTGCATCCAGGCTTCTTGTCCGAGCCCTGCCCATGAAGTCCCAGGGCTTTCCAGCCCTGCCCGTGTCACAATACTTAAGAACCATTGGTATTTAAGTGGATCAGGTCCAGAGCAAAAATATAAGAGGTATAAACTCATGGAGATCCTTCTTTTGAAGGTAGAAAACACACAACACTGTACAAATGGGAAGTTTTACTGTGATTCTGAATGGTTTTAGAAATAAACAAAACCAAATCACTCTGATTTATTGTGGAAATGGAAGGAGGCAGTGTTAATGATTGGATACAAAAAACCACTGTAAGGTTAAAAGCCAAAAACTGTATGTAAATATGTTTAATGAGTACAGTTGTTGATAGCATACAGCTATCAGCTGTACAGGATATACAGGATAGGATATCCTGTACTTATAGAATACATCTATAAACACATTTATATAAGACTGAAAAGGCACTAGAGTTTCCCAAGTAAAACACAAGTAAATTAACAAGGTAAATCCAAACATGGAGGTTGGGGAATCTTTAGGGAGACGTGCTGGAAAGGAAACTTTGAAAATCACATGGGAAGTTAGAAACCAGTCTCACACTGAAAGCTGGGGAATTTGAAAGTCTGGCTCCCATTTGTATCTTCAAAATCTCCCTTAATACACTGGTCAGATGACAAATAATAGATGTAGTGTGAGATTAATGAGTCTATAAAGGACTGTACAGTACTGCAGGAAACAACATAGCGTTAAGCTTCTTAGGAAGCTGGAGAGCTTACTTTAAAATCTGGCACTCCTGTTCATGCTGTTCTTAAATTGTAGAAATAAATGGGTTTGTGCAATGCTGAGAATCTAAATACATTCCTGTGCAAGTAGTGCCCGAGAAATCTTGGAGCTATTTTTGTGGGGGAAAGTGCCATCAGAATAAGGAGAAATGTAGAGTGACCAAGCCTGGTGTCCAGCCTTTCATCTGCTTTTGCCAGAGTGGCCTTCCTAACTTCGTTTGACTGAAAGGTTTATGGTTTAAGACAATAGGGGGGATTTTTAATGTCTTGAAAAAAGCATACTGGAGAATAATATGATAGGAAGAAACTTGATAAAACAAAGCTAAGACAGTATGTTTATGTGGGAAAAAAATAAAAAGCTATGTGGAAATGAATAGTAAAACTATGTTATGGGTGGATGAGTCTTAATGATTTTTAGCTTCTCTGATTTCATTGCCTTACCTAAGGAGCATGGCTGTAAGTGGAAGGTGAGTGTTGGTAGTTCTGCTGGTCGTGATTTCAGCAGTTGTAAGAAACGTGGAGTGTGTTCACATGACATTTATTTACATAGGAAATTAAAGCAACAACCAGCAGTGTTCAAACAACTGCAAAGTCTGTGTCACGAGCCTGATAGTAGCGTGGCAGCTCAGCCAGTCCAGGGCAGATTTCACATAAGATTCACTTTCCTTTTGGAGACACAAATGCTTTGGTCTTTTTCTCAGAGCAGCTACAGCTGTAAAAGAGAACAGCCTCTGCTGGGCAGAGATTAATGAATTTTGTAATTATGTGCAAAAGCATGCATTTAAAAGTCCTGCTAATCCAAACCCCGGGTTGGCTTTGTGGGTGCAGGTGTGTGACATGTGGCAGCAGGCCAACTGGATGACCACGCTTTCTGAGACACCTCTGGTGCTCCTGTCATTGTAAAGGCTCCTGATTCCATTCAGCCGATTCTTGTTTTCCTGAAGTATTTTATTACTTCTGTGTGACAGATTTTACCTTTTCCATATGGAGTGTTTAAGCTGACTGGCTGCTGTGCAGAAACTGTGATGGAGAGTTGGGATTTAAGTTCCCCCAATGCCAAGTGCCCACAGCTGCAGCTGTGCCTCCTTGCTCCTGCCCTGGAGGGTGCTGAGCCTGCACCAAGGGCACAGTGGGCTGCAGGGTGCCAGGATAGTGGATGCAACCACAGTGATTCAATGATTCTGTTGAAGGTTGGACTTGATGATCCTAGAGGTCCTCTCCAACCATAGCGATTCCATGCAGCACGAAAGCAGCATCAGGTAGTTGCGCCTGGGTCTGTAGTGGAGCTGCTGTCTCAAGGTGGAAGCTCCTGTTTAATTCACTCCAAAGTTTTTGGCATGGTTTCTTTAGTAACTCAGATGTAAAGTCCTTATTATTGCTTTGTCAGCTGTTAAGCACCTTTCTGTTAGGCTTTTACTAAAAACAAATGAACCAGACTTTTCCTGGAAGCCAGTACGATTACTGGTGGCTTTACAGGCTGCAAAAGGTTCCCAGGCTCTACAGACCAGTAACACCCACACTATCCCAGAGAAAAGAGTCTTCTCTTGAAGGAGTTTCATTCTTTTCATAGACACTTGATCATCTTCACCAGATCATTCTGTAGAGAAGCCTGTTTCCTTCTCCAGGAAACTCAAGAGCAAAGGTCCCACTGACCCAGATACACAGGTCCAAGGAGAGCTCCTGTGTTTCCCAGGGGATTTGGTTAGTGTTGCAAGAAGCCTGAGTTTTGCTCATTCCTTAGTAAACATACATTGCAAGCTATATTTTAAAAACACAGTCAAGACAGCTTGGAAAGATTTCATTGTTTTAGATATGATCAGGACAAAGCACAAGTCTGAAAAAATTCCCCTGGGGGCCTGTCAGTGCAGTACTGCTAGGGCAGCACGCACTAAGCAGGAAAAGCAAGCTGTCAGTAACCTTGCCAAAGTGTTTCTTAGCATTAAATATGTTGTGTTGGTAATGACCCTTTCTGGCCTCATCCTGCAAACAGGCAAGTATTTGCATTTTCTTATATTTATTGGTGTTGGATGTGATAAGTCTGCCGAGTTGCAAGATGTATGCATGCACTCAGGTACTTAGAGAATTAGGATTTTAGGGGCACAAAGGATGCACCATATATAAGCAACTGGCAGTTATAGTCACTTGTTAAAATAGTTTACAGTGGCCTGTGAGGCACAAGAAGGAACATAGCTCAGCTTTAAGTAAGTACAAAATTTTGGATTTTATAGCCTATGTTCTGCTGAAATGTGAAACTTGCACAATTTTTATTGCCACAGATGAATTGCATCTAATTTAAAAAAAATAAATCCAGAAAAAAAAAAAATCAAAACCAATCTTCTTTCCAATTAAAACAATTCTCTGTTTTCTGTCTGTCGGCCTACGAGACTGTACTTTCATGTAATGTCACAATGCTCTGTGACTTCGTTAAAGTTACCTGTATTTATGAGAAAATGGACCAGTATATCAGGTTAAATAGAATGTATGCCCCAGGGAATATTATCCTGGAGTACTTGTCGATGGCGTGAGTGTCGATGCGCATGCTGACGTATCTCTGGCTTTTCCTCCTGCCCGAGCCCCTCTCAGAGCCCAGGGCCAGCTGCACCATCATGCGGTCTGGCTTGTCGCCGTTCTCAGCCATGTAGTGCCCCAGCTCGTTCACGTCCCCGTCGTTGTAGCTGCCGTCCATCATCATGGGCCGAGGCTGAGGCAGGCTGCACGCGCAGGGGAGCTGTGGGCACAAGGGAGGGCAGAGTGGCCTTGAGTTCTCTCCAGACATACACAGGCGTCCCCTTTCTCCTCAGAGAAGCGGCAGAGCAGGGGACAAGCCTGGGCAAGTCATGCTGCTGGGACATGAAAGGGAGGATGAGAGGATGGAGCCGGGCAGCAGCTTTTTCCTTCTCTGTTTTCACGTCTGCAAGGCACAGGGCGGTCAGGGACAGAGCAGAGCTGCCTGTGGAAAAGCTGACTTGGCTTAAGCATGGCTATCGGGGTGTAAATAAGGGTTGGACCTGTGCCTCGCAGCTGGGAAAATCAGAGAAGAGATCAGAGGGAAACCACAAGGAGGAATGTATGAGGCTTGCCTCATTTGAAGTTAAGAGCTTACGCTGAAATTTTGGGTGGTTATAATTTAGTGTAATGAAGGCAGAAGCAGGAAATCTGGACTGTTGTGTAAGTTAGATGGTGCCTGGAGAAAGGTGGGGGATATCAGCCATGTTATCTGAGACCCAAAACACAGTATCCATCTGGTACCATTCACAGGTTAGGTTTGGGTCCTCAGTACAAAAAAAATATCTAAAAGTAGAATCCTAAAACCTATCCCATTTACACAGAGAGTTAAGTGGACTCAGAAGAAAGAACAGCGAGCTTGGGTGTGGGCTGTCTGTAGCAATTCTTTATGGCCTTGAATGCCTCGCTGATGGTGTCTTTTTGCTCACCCCACATTCTCCCCAGGCGGATCCAGGCAGCACATTGTAGTTGCAAAATTTTCAACATTTCCAGACATTTGCCATACCCTTCCCCAGGGGCATAAAGCTGCATCAGAGCTGGAAAACCTCACCTTGTCCCGTAGCTTCCTCTCCTTCCGCTCCTGCACCGTCGTCAGGTAATTCACTGCCGCGTATTCCAGTACCGAGAGGAAGACAAACACAAAACTGACCCACAGGTAAATGTCCACGGCTTTGATGTAGGAAACACGAGGCATGGAGGCGTTCACCCCGGTGATGATCGTAGACATGGTCAGCACCGTGGTTATCCCTGGGAATGCACCAGCAGAGAGACCGTAAGACACTTTCAAACCAGACTTTGTCACAAATACAGCTGTCATCACAATTTCCTGACACCCACATTTAACTTGCTGTATTGATCTTCACCTTTGAGTGATGGGTTTCCCGGCCTAAGGAGGCAGAGGTTAATGATGCCCCCACGGGTGATGCTGCCCCATTTTACACCATGGGCACATTGAAAGGGCAGGAGCCCCTCTAGTTTGGTGTTATCCTGGATCCGAGGGGGAATCTTTGTGCATGAGGCTCCAGGCTGGATGAGGCTCTGGGCAGCCTGATCTAGTGGGAGATGTCCCTGCCCATGGCAGAGGGGTCGGAACTGGGTGATCCTTGTGGTCCCTTCCAACCCTGACAGCTTCTGATTCTGACTCTATTTTAGCAGAGGACTTAGTAGTGTTGGCTTGATGGTTGGACTTGATGATCTTGGAGGTCTCTTCCAACCTAAAGGATTCTGTGATTCTATCTAGGTGCTTAAAAAGTACTGCTGAAGGCAGTGTCTACATCTTCCGAAAAGCCATGGCCCAAACCTGGATGCTCCTTTTAATGATGTCTCAAGGCAACAGATGCTGTTTCTAAACAGAGCCATGGATAACAAGCCCATTGCCATCTCTGTCATGGCACCTCTGTAGAGACTCCCTGCTGAAGAATATGACCTTCAGAATAAATGAAGTCCTGAGATGTGTTGCCTGGAATAAGTAGAAGCAAGCTCAGGCTCAAAGTGTGCTAAAATACAACCAGCACTTTGCTACGGGCAAAGCACCCCCTTTATAAGCAGGTTTATGTCCATACCATAGTTCTGCTCCCATGGGGCTTACCAGTGGAGCAGTGCAGCTCGGGTGACCCCTGCACTCCCTCCTCTAGCAAAAGGCAATAAACTGAAATTTTGTAATGCCAGCTAACACAGATTTTCACCTTTTTACTCACTGAAGTCTCTGCAGGATACTGACACTTTGTCTCCGTGTGTGTTCCATCTCTTTTAACAGCAGTAAGAGCAGAGCAGGACATTTTCTCTCTGCTCTGCACCACTTGCACCCCGTGCCTGTGCAAGCAGGGAAGGCAACTCGCTTGCCACCACGGGGCAGATGGAGAGTTTGTAGCATGGGCAGTGCCCTGTGCGGGGTCACGCGTGTGGCCCGGCTGACTCCTGTGCCACGAGGCAACGCGGGGGCAGCACACAGCACAGAGGATTTTGTCTTGACGGTCAAGGCTGCAGCGGCAGCAATTGTCTCTTAGTCCTGCTGAGTACAAGGTTGTTTTTACCTAATGGGACTCTGGCAGGAACTGCTCGGCGATCGATCCAGAAGGACACCCAGGACAACATGACCATGAGGGTGGCGGGGAAGTAGGTTTGGAGCAAGAAGAAGAAGATGTGTCGGCGTAAGGTGAAGTTTATGTAGAGGCGATTGTACCACCCTGGACAACAGAGAGAAGGAAAAAGTGAAGTCACACCAACCTCAAACTGCTTTCAGATAAGGCAATGTTGCATCAGAAGAATAGTGCCTCATTTTCTTTTAGAAAAACACAGTTAATGACCACAGATCATTGCGATTTACAGAAAAGACTCCTTGCTGAACCAACTGAGAAAGTCAAAGTGTCCCTCAGGACCTTCCGGGGAGGATAATATAGCCTGTGCACTCGGAGAGTTTAATTCATGTTAAGGCTTGTTGTGATCTTGAAGAGGGATTGTCTTTTCAGACTACATAACCATCGAGATGGAAGTCAGTGGTAGGGACAGGAGCCTTGGTGTAGAAGAGAGGCAGCTCTGATGGGCCACAGGGAGACCTTCCAATGGACAATCTTCCATGGCCAAGGTTGAGAGGGACAGTTTTCACCCCTTCTTCCCTGGCACACTGGCAGGCACTGTGGTACCCACCTGTGCTGCTGTAAAAGGCAAGCTTTGTGGTGGTGTGGAACTCCTGGATCAGGAACTGGGACAGCGATATCCTCTCATCTGTTTTTAGGGAATCATTGCCATTCTTCCAGTAGAGCATGAGGTCATCTTCAGTGTAGGCATCTAGGAGAACAAAGCAAACCTCCCTGCAGTGCCCCACTATCACACCCACAACCCAGCATGTGCCCATGCACCTTCTGTGGGGTCTCATCTGAAAAGGCCAAATGCTACTACTTAGCTGAGAGGCCTGTTGATGGTGGGTATGGTTGTGGCAAGAAGTGGATGGACTCATTGTCACAGCCCTCAGACCTGATGCCTAGCATATTTTGCATACTCTTCTGTTACTCTGATCATAATTTTGCACACATAATGTGTGTGTCAGGAAACCCACCACATCAGAACTTGAAAAACTGTCCCTTATAAATGTCCTAAAATCAGAAGTAGAGGAGAGGAGACTTAGAGGAAAGAGCCTGCTTGGGGTAACTGGAGGAACAATCTATTAATGGTCTGAGGCATGAAGAAGGAAAAACTCTTGGGTAAACTTTCTGCCTGTGATGTACACAGGAACATTATTAATTTTGTTTTTTAATACTTGTGCAAATATAGTAATGTTAATCCTTTCAGATGGGTTTAGTAGCAGCTCTTCCTGGACTAGGAAAAGAAGGAGAAGGAGAAGGAAAAAAGCTCCTAAAAATTTGAAAGTTTAACTTGTCTCTATAGAAAATCTAGCCAATTAGTGTGTGTGTCACACTTGGGCAAAGGAGCTGCATGTGGGTACAAGCTGGGTTTATCTCAAATAGGCGTAAGAAAGATAAGAGGAAGGTGATGAATATCACTGCCCCATCATGCTTTCTACACCGTGGGTGAGGGGACAGTGCATGTGAAGGGCGTAGGGCCATTTCTTGATATGTATTTGAGGGCACCTGGGCAGAGGGTGCTGCTGGAGACTGCTGACCTGCAGGCTAGTGGCCCTGGTCTCCTGGGGAGTGGGTGGCAGCGGGGCAGCCTGGCTGGCTTTCAGGGACACTGGCAAGCCAGTGCTCACAGCTGGCTTTTAAAAACACATGTTTTTGCAAACATCTTCTGATTCTAGAAGAGAAGATGCAGGCAGGGCGTTTTTCTTAGTGTTGAAGTCTGCTGACTTTGGTTAGAGCTCCCATGAATGTAGCAGCATTTTAATTATCAGTATAATTATTGATATCATTAAATACAGTTTGGGAGCCCATGGGGTGCAGCCCTTGGCTCCACTACACCTCCACTTTACTTACAGCTTTCAATCTCCAGAGAACAGGTCTGTGTATCCAGGGGGAAGCGACTAAAATCCATGTTGCACATTGCTGTTACTGTAACTCTAGAAATAACAAAAGCAACTCCATCATAAACTTGCCTTCTTATGTTACTGAAAAACAGTAAAGCTGTGAGTTTGGTTTTCTATCTGGCCTGCAACAGTCCTCTGAAAATAGATCTATTCCATTCAGCTAAAGGCATTCCACTTCAGTTAAAGTAATTTCTTCTTCTCAGCAAACTATTGTTAGAAAAGATGACTGCAAAATAAAGACATTACAAATTGCTACTAGATGACAAGAAGAAAATGGGAGAGGGCAGAGAGGGCACTTCTTCCTCTTTGACTATCAGCAAACATCTCTCTGCAGAGATCTGTGCTTTCAACGGATGCTCTGTATGATAAAATAATTGACCTTTATCAAAGCCATCCTAGTGCCACGAGGGATGCAGGTAGTTTTCTCTGCACACCGGGAATTTCCAGCTGCTCAGTGAGAACCCGGTGATCACACAGGGGGATCAACCACCAGAGGGCACAGGCAGAGCCTCCAGTTAGGGCTGGAGCTGGTGTGCAACAGGGACCACTGAAGTGCTCTGCCCCACTAATCAAAAGCTCTGGTCTTGGTATACTCTGATTATCCAACTTGTAATTGCATAATTTTGTGTTTGCACTGGAAGCATCCATAAATCTTGTCTCAACTGGCTTGAACTCTAGGGAAGTAAATGAGAATAGAAGTATTAGGGAAAGAATTAATGAATTACAGCAGGGCTGAAGGCAGACAGATGTCTATCACATAATGATAAAAACACAAAATGCAGTCCCTTATGTTAGCAGTCTTTCTCCATGTGTAGGTTCCCAATAACGTTGCTTTCCTATCTGGATTTAATCTTTGAGTGAAAGTATTTGGCTCAGATCTCTTGTGTAGGTGCCAGTGAGGTCTACAGTGGTTTCTAAGACAAGGAAGACAAACTCTGGCAAAGAAGCTTAAAAAAGGGAGGCACAGAGGAAAAATAAAATCTACAGGCAAAGGCAGGCAGGCAGTAATGACCAGTTTGTTCCCAAGAGAAGACCAGCAGTCATACTTCACCAGCATTCATAAAGCACTCCAGCCTGCAGCCACCACTGCATAAAATAACAGAGCTCTCTCAATTTGCTAGTCAAGACATTCACCACCATCTTGTACAGGACAATTTTTTAAGCACACGACTGTGTGTAGCAGGATCTAAGTAGTTTGATATTCTTCTATTCCCATCTGGAAGCAAACAGATGTGGTTTAGACAACCATAAATGCCTGCAACACAGATGACTGCTATCATGCGACAACATGAAAGAGTATATAGGCATGTATGTTTTAGCTGAACCCTATGTCATTTCATTGTTCTTTTTTATTGTACTAAGGACCTGAGCAAACTTTACAAAGGCCTAAGAAACACCTGAACCTTGTCTAATATGCTGAGTGAAGAAGTTGTTTTAATAATGAGAAGGCAGACACTGTTCAGGCTGTGAATCGTAATAAACAGTAAAATAAAAATAGCAGAGAACAAGAAAATTCTTGTCAAACTGATATCCCATAGGGAATCAAGAACTGCTTTGCTTGCCTTCTTTTCATAAAATCGTAAAACAACTCAACAGCCTAAGAAGTTGATTTCCTCACCTTATAGCAGGCTCATCTCTAACTCTGCCACTCCTAAGGTCACTAACACGTCCTTAAAGACCTCCACAGCCTTCACAAGTGATCTGTTCTGCAACCTTATCATTGGTTAAATCTATGCATCTTGCTGTTACTGACCTCCTGTCAGTCACATTTTCCTCCTTTTTTCTCTTTCAGAATACATTATCTACCATCTGATGCTTTATTTATCATGTATTTTGCTGTTTCATTGCTGTGGAGGTGATGTTGACATTATTGCATCAGAATATTTTACAGCAATTTCCTCTCCAACAGGGTTTTAAGGGCAATACTTGTTTCCTAACTGGATGGAGCTGCAGACACGAAAAACAGAAGCCCTGGTTTTAGTTTCTTTTGGAGATGGACAGATGTTCCTCACTCAGCATCTCCAAGTATGAAAGTGTTACTTAACAGAAAGAAAAAACATCCTAATTTAATAATGTACAGACTTAGGTCAGCAATATTCCTCTCAAAACTGATCGACCAGTCAGAAAGTAAGGGAGAAAGTCAGGGTTGGGACCACTTCTCAAACTAAAGAACAAAACAAATTTCACCCCAAATGTCCCCTTGAAGAAGCTGTCATGCATTTCACACGAAATGTGAGCAAATAGCAGGAAGAGCTGAAGTCAAATGTTTAGGTTGCTTTGGCCATACATGGGAGTCACTAGAGGCTATATACCCTTGCTCTGAAGCTTGTCACTTCATGTGCTGGAGGATGGTCTATTTTCTTGCTTATCATAAAGCTAAAGTTGTGCTCAGTTTAATTTACACTTCTTCATAATTACCTGTAAGAATACAAACTGCACATTTTGCTAGGCTCAGAGACTTTGTTGTATAGTTAAGATGATAACTATGGCTACTCCGGACTTCTGTTTATTACCAGGCATTGCCCTCTTCCTTACGTTGTGCCTTGCCTCATAAGCAGTGCCCTGCAGGGATCATAGCCCACTAGCCCCCAGTGAGCTGCCCCGAGGGACTGACACATCTGGCCACAGCTTCCCGACAGCAGCAGCAGGGACTAACCAGGCACACAGGATGAAGGGACGCTGGTAGAACCAGCAACGTTGGTGTAGGAATTGACTTTCTGTGGCAGGGACTTAATGGAGTTGCAGAGGGACTCAGATGTCAGTGATTAGTCAGCACATTCATTCTGTTTTATGGGTTTTTTTGAAGTATGAAGCCATGCAGAAAGAGAGCACAGGAATCAATCACACCCTCTTCCCTGTCACTCTACTAATAGCTCGCATTGACTGGATGCAGCTTTACCTGAGGCTATAAAGTACCTTCCCATCTGGCTGGACCCGCAGCATGACGTTGTCTGTGGTGGTGTCGTGGATGAAGGAACGCTTGGAGTGGACAAAGAACATGTCAGGGACCCAGATCTTCTTCACCAGCCTGCCATCAAAGGTCATGCTTTGGTTGTTGGTGCTGGGGAAGGACAGCCTCTCATCTTTCCAGTAGTGCCTCAGATACAGTGTCATGGTGAAGTCCTGCAACAAACAGGCTTGTGTCACAGCTTATACCTTTTCCCTCTACTCACATTTGAAGAAAATTATTCTGGAAAACCTTTTACATTGACTCCTGTGTGTTAACGTGTCCTTTAAACAATAACACATTGACAGACATTTGCTCTCCACCCAGGAGTCAATGCCTCACTTTTTTGCATAAAGTTACATTTATGGTTGCTGTGGAAAAATCAAGTGTTGTCAGCTTTCATTAGGAAAGATTTATTAATACTAGTTTTAGGCTATTAAACTAGGAACTGCAGTATTTTACAATGCATCATCAGAAAATCCCCCAAGCAACAACCACATAATATCTCTCTCTTCTTTTGGTCCATTTCTCAGAGATGCTATTAGCTTTCCCATTATGTTTTGCAAATTAATTTCTAGTCCTGGGTAACAATCTGGTTTTTTCCTTCTTCTCATCTTTCCTACAGATAAAGCAGCTGTCCCACACATCCTGCAAAAGCTCTGTTAGTTTCAGAGTCAGTGGCCCATAATAGATATTTATAAATTTTTAAATTAATTGGACAAAAAGAAGCTGATTTGTGACAGCCTAATGAAGTTTTCTAATGCCCTCTATTATTTTACCACTTTCTTCCAAACAGTCAGAAAGTAGGAGAAAAAAAAAAAAAAAGGCAATACTGGTAGATAACAAGTTTGATATATTGATGTCCCTGCATATTGCTGGGGGGTTGGATTAGATGACTTTTGGAGGTCTCTTCCAACTCAAACATTCTATGGTTCTATGACAGCTCCTCAACTTTAAATTTAGTACACAGTGAATGTGTCTGTCACTGATCTCTCTCAGTTTAAAAAGCAAGCAATGGTCTGGCAAAGCACCACGGCCTTTTTCTGTAATGCTACACAAGTTAAAAAGAGTTGATTCTGACAATATAAAGTCTTCCCCATCATTATTTTGCAAACAGCCAAAACTGACCTTGAATATTTTCTTACCCAATGCCACACATTGATTTCCCCATGTTCACAGATGTTGCAGAATGACATTTCACAAAGAACAGGAGCAGCCTTCAAAAATCAGGGGAAGTTGTTAAAAATCATCACGCTTGCTTAAAAAATGAATGTTTTGTTTTTGTTTTTGTTTTTGTTTGTTTGTTTGTTTTTTAAACTTCAAAATATTCATTCTTAAGTTCTTTCCCTTTGCTTTCAAGTCTCAAAGTATTTCAGAGGCTCTCTTGGCACCTTCACAAGATCTTTTTCTCAACCCGAAGGGCTGGAGCCATCCCAGGAGAGGTGAAATCTCAGTCCCCCATGGCAGGCAGGCAGGGTGCCAGAGACAGGATGGACAACCAGAGGATGGACAACCAGAGGGCTCCTCGAGGGTGGGGAGAATGTGCACCCTGATGTGTCTCAGCGTTGCAACACTGCTGTACCCTGCACGTGGTCAACAGACCCCAGATATCCCAGACGCCTTCAAAAGCTGAAATAGCTGCAGTAAAAAGAACCTGGTGTGCGACTGGGGTGGTTGCTGAGCACCAGTTGTGCTGGAGGAAGTTGGGCACAGGCTATTGAACCTGTTAAAGACCTGTTTTAACCTGTTAATTAGGAGGAGAAAAAAGCTGAGGCTTTCTGAGAAAGCTTCAGAGCTGTTTAATGCACATGTTGAAAGAGCAAAACATTTTAAAAAGTATTCTTTATTGGGGTGTGGTTTATTTTTCTCTTCCAAAGCAAAAGTTGAGCTTCTGAGAGACTCTGGGGCTGCTCTAACAGGGAAGGTCTGACAATCTCTGGATTTTTAAATGATTAATGAAATTGGTGCAGGTCTTACCACGTAAATGCAGAGCCATCTCCAGTTCCCTTTCTGTGCTCCTGCTCTCCTGCACAGCAGTTCACACAGCACACATGCGTGTAAAATCTTCCCATGGAAAATCTCCCACAGGAATCATACCTTACTTTCAGTAGTGTTTTATGATGAAAAAGCCCCTCCAGCAAAAATTATCAAGACTGAAATCTGCACCACTTTGAGAGCATTTGAAAACTGACTGTTTTCACGTTACAAGTTCTATGTTAGGAAACAAAGGACAGAGATTCGGTGGGGAATTTAGCCTGTGCAGAGCACCAGCATTAGTCCTGTGTGCCCCTGAAATTCTACTCCAGCATCAGTGTGAAGATACAGGAAGGACCAGCAGAGCCTGGCACTGGTCCTCAGCACACAGCAGGGGTGATAAAACTGCCAATGTGCCAAAGACAAGTTCTGGAGAAACTTATTCCCCCTGAGCTCACTCTGTCTGTCCTGTCAAGAGCAGGACTTACCAGTCTGAACCACTGTTGCTCTTAGGATGGTTGCATGGCTTCTGATTAGGAGATAGCCAGCCCCCGACCACCTCAGAAACACGGCCAAAGTGAGACTGTGTCTGCAGTATATCAAAGTGCTTTAAAACTAACACATTAGTTGGTCTTCTCAGAGCTTTTAAACATGTTATCACTTAAGAAAATATAAAAACCCAAATCCTTTGGAACAGTCTTGGCAATGTTATATCATTTTGTCTTAGAGAAAAGAAAATGTCAGATTTCTCCTTTCTGCTTCAAGAGAGATGAAATGATAGCATGAGGAAAATAGAAGTAATTGTTGACAGGTTCAGATCAAACCCAAATCTGCCTCCCAGAGGCTGTGGAATGTCCATCTTGGAGATATTCACGCCCCATGGACACAAGCCCACTCAGCCTGCTCCAGCCAGCCCTGTTCTTAGCAGGAGTTTGGGCTAGGTTGTCTCCAGAACTCCTACATGGTGTTAGCCCTTCTGTGGCTCTTACCATGTCCACCTCAGAAATGCTGTCCAGACTTTCGACTTGGACATCCACCCCAACAGGAATTGCAGGGCCTGGGGAGGGGAAAAAAATTAAAAGTTGAAAAAGTATAAGAGACAAACTAATCCTCTAGCTTTTGTATCTTAGAGATAAAAATCAGTGTACAGTCTGAAAAAGAAACCACAATAAACCATTTGAGAGTTGTGGGAAAATAATGGAAGACTGTTGAGGAGAATTGTAACATGCTCAAGTGACTTGGGGCTGGGGTGTTGAAAAACACAGAGATCACAGCAATTGTTGCTCAGCTTTGTGTGCTTGGCAAGAAGAATACCTGTGTTCAGATAATGTAAGTCTGTGAAGGACTCAGAGGCACTTTATTGAACATACTTGAGATTCCTGCCCTGCTGTGGGAAAGATCTAAGCAGAGCAGAAAATGGTACCTACAAGAACCCTTGATATAAAGGAGAAAGCAGTTTTTTCACTCTGTAGCAAGGATCGAGCTCCACTGTGCCTGCCTGTGTGCCTCTGCCCAGGTGCTGTTTGCAGAGATCCCCCAGTCAGTAAGGTAACAAGAATAAATCTATCTTTGCATTTCAGCCATGGTTCTGTTGTTGTTCCTGTGTCCTGCCTATGTCGGTTCACACAAATGTAGAAGCAATCAGAATTCCTAACAAAATCCCCCCTAATAACAATCAAAATCAGCAATGAAACTGGCCTATTACTAACTTCCTCTTTTTATTGTGGCTAATAACATCCCTAAGAGCTACTCTGTGTGTTTTGCTTTCACATTATTCAGTGCTCAGCGGTGGAAAAGACAGGGTGACCAGAGGGAATGCGTTGCAGGACGTAGGCATGTGCCACTGACCCTGGGGCTCCTGAGGGGAAGGGTCCAACTGTGACCCACATAATGGGGATTTCAATCTTTTTTCTCTCCTTCAGACTTTGACCAGCCCTTTATATACCTCTGGCAATTATTGTACAGGAGATCTGTCAAGACAAATAACGCTCATATTAGCAGGCTGCTATGAAACTAAAACCTTTTTAAATTAATTGAACATGCTGGTATTTGGTATATTGAGCATTTAGCAATAAAATCTTCTTCCATCAGAGTATATAATGGTACCCTGGATTTGAATGACCATCTGTCAGCCAGAAAGGGTAGATAAATTACAACACTCTCTAATCCGATGGCCTGAAAGAAAACGTGTTCTCCTCCATCCATTTCCCTGAGAGCTTAGGTTGCTCTAGCACACAGCCACCAAACTGTGAGCAAGCATTAACACATGGCAGTCAAAATATTTTCTTTTGGGCTATAAATGAAATGCCCAGGCCATTTAAGTGTGGTACGTGATTTGGTTATGCACACACATCGCCACAGTAAGACAAAATCTTAGAATTTCCCCATCATCCAGGAGTAAAGATAAGGTGTATTCGCAGATTTTTATCAGAGTAAAGTGTCACTGAATACCAGGAATATTGTGTTGTCTGTAACCCCATTTCCATGCCTTTGACTACACTATTTGCTCATCCAAAGGAGGTTATTTCACTGCACTCCTATTCCCCCTAGCATGTCATGAATTCACAACACAAAATAAAAATCAGAGATGGAAAAGGCTCTGCTTGCCAATCTGCTTGTTCACCTGAGTGAGGACATGTTACAGCATAAACAACTGGCAGTGTAAAACAGGAACAGTGACAAATGTGCATGTTTCATACCTCCAAAACCTGGTCTCATGCTGAAGTCATGGTCATCTATTCGCAGCAGCTGCTCTGACTTCGTCAGGGGAGATTTGGTGATGTCAGGGCTTCGTTTTAGGATTGGGCTACCAGGAAGACAGAAGCACAGCTATGAGCCCTGAGCCTCAGTGCCTGTGAGAAGAACAGACTTGCTTCTCTCTGTTGCCTCTTAGACCATTTACCCCTTAGACCACAACCACACAATTGTTTGCAGTGGTTGGCAGTGTGTCATTAAATATTATTCCTGTACTCAACATACAATTTAAGCATCTTTGATAATTCTGACAATCAGAAAACATTCATTTGGTGACTTTTTGTCTCTGTAAAATTATCTCTGCTTGTAGCAGTTTGGAGACTATCATTCAAAAGTGTGGCCTGGAGGAATAGTGCGTATGGATAAATGGGGAAGTGGAAACCGGAGGGAGGCATTTCTGACATTGGGTTACAACTGTTGCAGGGCCAGGAATTAGGGAAACAATATATCAAATAAGATACTGGCTGTTGTCCAGGAACAAAATGGAGACAGGCTGGGAACCAGGCCAGGAGGCGGGCCATCTCCTAACTTGGGATAAAGTGATTAGCTCCTGCCCCAGTTTTCTAACAAAGATAAAAAGGAGCATTAAAGACCTAGGAGGTCTCTGAACATTAAAAAGCCTAGGGGGGGGGGTCATTCCAGAAGCTGTTGGAGTTGCACCAAATGCTGGGCAAAGGATGCTCTGCTCCTCCTCCACATCCAAGTTGTAACACACTGTTCAGTGCCTCAGTGTCTTGGCTAGGGTGGTGGTGGCAGCAGCTCTTTGGTTGGTCCATCATGTAGATGAGGCTTTGCTGCCATCAGAGCCAGCTGTATGCCAGCAGGTCGAGCAGCAGAAGGGCTCAAAAACGGGAGGAAAGGTTTTGCTGGTTCTTAGTTTGAGAAAAGATGGCATTCTCAAAGAGGAAGTTGTCTGAGTATACACAAGACAAGTCAGAAACAGCTTAAAGAAAAACAGGACAACATAGAAGTTTGATTGGGAATAAGCTGCTGAGATAAAGCTCCTCCTAAATGAGGCTGCTTGGCTGTGCCCTACTTCTCTCAGACCTGTGGACAGTTGCACCATGAGAAGACAATACAACAGTCTCCTGAGAGAGATCAGTACGTCATCAGTGACTCATTTCTCAAACACAGAGTTTTATGTGGACTGCGCAGTGTCTTAGAAAGATGCTCAGTCTCAGTTTAATAATTTCTAGGAGTGGTGAGTCATCTACCTCCATCAGTGAGTTCTTCTAGTCATGAATTATCCCCCAGGCATTTTAAAAGGTGGCTCCTGCTTCTGCTCTAGATTAAATTCAGCCACTAAAGACCTGTGGCATTGTGAGCATGCACCAGGGAAGATCTATACCTGGCTGAGATGGTGGAGTGATATTAGCAGGTCACTGGCAAAACCTTCGACACTTGTGAGCAGGCTCGACCGTGCTCAGGAAGGCACTTTGTCCCCAGCAGTGGGAAGGACAAGTGGTGTGACGGAGAGCCCATGGAAGGGGGGCTCAGCTCTGCAGAAGGGATGCTCGGAGGGAAGGTGCCCACTGCAGCAGCACGGGTGTTACAAATCATGTGGCGGCGCAACACAAGGCCCGAAGGGGCTGCGGCAAACGGCCATGGTGTCACACCTCACCCCCATGAGGGTGTCGGGCAACGTGGCCTCCTCTGGGGCCTGCCGGACCTTGCTAACGGCACCACTCCCACCTAAATGCAACCCGCATGCTCCAGCAGCGTCCCCTTGCCCTGCCTCAGCCGCCGCGGGGTGCCACCTACCTGCCTTGCTTGTGCACCTCGCCGTGGGCCTCCCGCCTCTGCCGCTGCGGCCGGCTGCACGAAACGACACCAAAAGGGAGAGCTGAGACGGGCGGTGGCGGCCGGGAGGGTGAGGGGCAGGGAGGGAAGCGCGGCAGGAAGCGCGGGATCCCCAGGCACTGCCTTCCGCCGCACCTCTGAGGGGGCTCTTACCTTTTCCATTAACCTTTTCACTGGTTTTGCAAGGTTTTGGCTGCCTGGACAAGGACCCGGGCAGTCGGATTGCCTCCCTCCTCCTGTAGCCATGGCTGAAGCAGGCACGGGCTCTGGAGAGAGGTCGTCCTGCATGGACCACGATGGGCTGCCGAGAGCCTCTGCCAGCCAGGAGCACAGCCATTACCTTTGCTCACCACAGGCAGCTGAGCCTTTCCATGAGATTAAAATCTTTTCAAAGTATTCCAGTGGGAAAAAGTAAAAATCTGTAGAAATATTTGTTTCTGGTTCCATACTGTCTCCCAGCTGTCTGTCAAGAATTCTCCTTTCAGGTGTTTGGACAATATTTTATTTGATCACCAAATGAAACAATACTGCTTTTAGCAATGTAAGTGCTAGCTTGAGCAAAAGTCACATTTTGAATATTTAACAGTTCTAACTCAGGGATCTGAACAGGCTGGATCAATGGGTCAAGGCCAATTATATGAGGTTCAACAAAGCCAAGGGCCAAGTTGTGCATCTGGGTTACAACAACCCCATGCAACATACAGGCTTGAGGACAAGTGGTGGGAAAGCTGCTCAGTAGAAAGGGACCAGTGAGTGCTGATCAACAGCTGCTTGAACATGAGCCAATGTGCCCAGGTGGTCAAGAAGGCCAACAGCATCTTGGCTTGTATGAGAATTAGTGTGGCCAGCAGGACAAAGGCAGCGATCGTCCCCCTGTACTCAGCACTGGTGAGGCCATACCTCAGGTACTATGTTTGGTTTTGGGACCCTCACTACAAGCAGGACATTGAGGTGCTGGAATGTGTCCAAGGAAGGGCAATGAATCTGGTGAAGGGTCTAGAGCACAAGTCTTATGATGAGCAGCTGAGGGAACTGGGGTTGTTTAGCCTGGAGAAAAGGAGGCTGAGGGGAGACTTTCTCACTCTCTACAACTACCTGAAAGGTGGCTGTAGTGAGGTGGGGGTCAATCTCTTCTCCCAGATAACAAATGATTGGACAAGAGGAAATGGCCTCAAGCTGCACTTGAGGAAGTTTAGATTGGACATTAAGGAGAACTTCTTAATTGAAAGGGTTGTTAAGCAGTGGAACAGGCTGCCCAGGGAAGTGGTGGACTCACCCTGGAGGTATTTAAAAGGCAAGTAGATGTGGTTCTTAGGGACATGGTTTAGTGTTGGGCTGGCAGTGTTAGGTTAATGGTTGGACTTGATGATCTTAAAGGTCTTTTCAACCAAAACAATGCTATGATTCATCTTTAACTAAAAGTTAAAAAAATTAGCTTCTCTCTGTAATAAATGCTAGCTATAGTCAACTCTATTAATGTGACTTTTTGCCCATTAACACACATTTCAAACCCCTCTGTAGACATTTGAAGCAGCAAAACTCCTTCAGCAGTAATGAGCATCGTCACCCAGGTAGCATCATCCCTTTGGTGAGTGGTGGCTGAACCCAAGGTCTCCAGGAGGGTTTTTCCCTGGACTGGGAACTCTGAGAGCAGGTTATGTTACAGGAAAATTATCTTTCTGCTGCCACAGAGACATACATGCAACCTTCACATGGCCCAGACCAGGGGTAAACACATGGGGCTGTATCACTGACTCAACCTGAAATAAAACATTGGCCTAGTGGGACCTGTTTTTTTTTTCCCATAATCTGCTCTATGCTTCCCAAGGGAGGGCTGGGAATAAGCCCACAGACAGACCGTAGTTTGGGGAAGCTTTGAGCCATGCAGCACCACTGCAATAGCGGGGAGCAGCTTCTTTGGCACTGCTTGGACTTGGGCATAATGTAGCAAAATGCACTTGCAAGTGGAAATGCATTTTATGCCTTGCTGATATGCCCTTGGACAGTGGTTGATGTGTCTCACTGCTGTCTGCTTCTCATCTGCTGGCTGTCAGGAAGTAATTTCACGTGTTTTGGGGATAAGCAGATTCTGGCAACAAGCTGACCTACTTACATGACTTTAAAGTGCCCTAGTAAACTCTTGGCTGTTCAGGAATAATGCTGGTATTCAAACAGGGATGAAGCAGGCCATGTTCTTGCAATTTCTAATTTTCATTTTTCTTTGTAGAGCTTATGTAATGATTTATGTTATCCATGGCCCTATCCTGCCTATAGAAAGAGCACTCAAGGCATGACCATCAAGGATTCATGGCTAAATCCTCCCTGTCCTCTGCACCCAGCAACCCTGGGTGGTTCCTCTTATTTCTTCCAGGAGATTGTCCACTGCCTCTAAATTAACTTTGTTTCCTTATCACAAACCAGCATAAAATGTCCCCCAGTCCAGCCACCCCAGGGCACTCTCTTAATTTGTTCACTTCTTTTCACCAGTCCCATTCCCCTTGTAACAGTTCTGAGGTTACTTAGCCTCCCCCACTTTCCTGCCTCCTCCTGTGGCAGGAAACCACCTTTACCTGTTGCAAATCAGTTACTGTGATTTGAAGCCCCATTCCTTTCTACTCAATAAATAGCTTTTCTGGTCTGGTTCCTGGGAAGTGCTCTGCTGGCCAAGTGATCAATGGCAGCTCCATCACGGGACCCCATTAGCCTGCCTGTTTGGGCTGTGAATCAATGGCAAGCCACCACAGCTCCCCCTTGCACATCTGCTGTCCTGGGCATTTGTGCTATCTGAGGGGATCCAATCCAGACCATTCTCTGGAAACAGATTGTTCAATGCAGCTGTTTGCCACCACAGCCACGCAGTGTGACAGCATTGCTCCTGCCTTCACTGCGGTGACAGGCTGTCTTTAAAACTGACCAATAACCCCAGAGGTAAAATATAATGAATAATCTTCCCCACCCAGCCAGCCAATGTCAATATTTATTTCCTAACCACCATGGTGCTGAAGGGTGTTTGAAAGGCTCAGGAAGCTCACTGAGGTGCTTTATGAAAAAGAAACAACTGGAGCAGGGTGGCATTTATTCACAGTGTTTCTTGTGATTGTTGCTAGACTTGCTCTCAGGCCCCTGATGGCAGCTGGGGTTATGCAACCTGTCCAAAGTCATCATTATTCGCCCACATAACCCCACTGCTTCAAGGGATCATGAGATGCTTGTATCCCAAAGGCTGAGGTTTGCTGGAACTGGGAATGAATAAGGTGACTGAAGCTTAGGATAGCTAGGGAAAAAAAAAAAAAAAAATCAGCAAACCCATTTTTTTGTCACTATTGCTACATACACAAGTCAAAAAGCAGTTACTACTCTATGTTTCAAAAAGCCTAAGGTTTACTATGGCACTTATAGTCTCTTAAACACAGAAAAAAAAAGACTGCAGGGTTAGGGTTAACCATGTCTGGTTTTCAGAAGGCACAGTCCAACCATGACATCTGAAAAGTCCCAGCAGGCATGTCCACATGCCCAGCTTCCAAGGACGTGTGCCGGAGGAGTGTCAGATCCACACTTGCAGCGTGCACCAGAAAACCCACGGCATTCTCCAGTTTTGAAATAAGAGCTTTTGGGAGCAACTACAACCAACGTGAGAGAAGTCACTTTCCATCTTGGTGTTTTAGCTTTTAATTACTTATGCAGCACACATTTCCCACCTATGGACCATAGTGTCTTCTCTCTACGTGAGGCAATATACCTGTAGTAAACAGTGACTTATTTTGCACACTTGTTAGGGTAATATCATTAGGATCCAAGAAAACTTTTTCCTGGAGGAGTAAAATTAAGATACCCTTTCAGTTCTTTAGGAAAAAGCAAGATCTGATGTATTTTCCTCAAGAGAAAAGTGCAAGTAAGTTGCTGAAATAATTCAGTCAAGTTTGCATAGTCTTTCCTAGGTGCAAGGGATGGTGCTTGAGGAAGAGTGCTGGTGGGTTTGGCAGACTGGGCTAACACTAACACTGTTATTGGATTTCATGAAATTCTGAGACAGTCTGGCCCTTCTATCCCCTGTGGTATCCTTAGGTCTGCAAAGAGTATGGCAGATCAGAGAAATGATGTCAGAACAGATCCTGTCTCAGGTAATATTGAGATGTGGCTGTGGCAGAATCTCTGTCCCTTCAGGTATGTGGTGGGCTGACTCTAGCTGGATGCCAGGTGCCTACCGAAGCCTCTCTATCATTCCTGTCCTCAGCTGGGCAGGGGAGAGAAAAATGTACCAAAAGACTCATGGGTCAAGATAAGGATACAGAGCAATCATTCAGCAATTACTGTCACGGGCAAATCAAATTTGACCTGGGGAAATTAGTTTAATTATTATCAATCATATCAGAGTAGGGTAACGGGAAATGAAAATTAAATCTTAAAACACCTTCCTTCCATTCCTCCTTTCTTAATGGGCTTAACTTCACTCCCCATTTTCTCTACCTCCTCCTCCCAGCAACACAAGGGTTGGGAAATGGGGATTGAGAATAGATCACCAAATGTTACGTCTGCTGCTCCTTCCTCTTCAGGAAGAGGACTCCAAAGACTCTCCACCTGCTCCAGCACAGGCTCCCTCTCACAGGACATAGTCTTCCATGAACTTCTGCAGCATGATTCCTCCCCATAGGCTACAGTTCTTCATGAACTGTTCCAGCATGAATCCCTTCCACAGGGAGCAGGCCTTCATGAATAGACTGTTCCAGCATGGGTTCCCCCTGAGGTTGCAAACCTGCTCCAGAGTGGGCTTCTCTCTCCACAGGCCCTGCCAGGAATCCGTTCCAGAACATGTTTCCCCATGGGGTCACAGCCTCCTTCAAGCATCCACCTTCTCCAGCGCGGGGTCCTTCACAGACTGCAGGTGGATATCTGCTACACCATTAACTCCTATGGGCTGCAGGGGGACAGCCTGGCTTACCATGGTTTTCACCGTGGGCTGCAGGGAAATGTCTACTCCAGCCTCTGGAGCACTTAGTCCCCCATTCCTCCTTCAC